TCTGTAAATAAAATTTAGGTATTACAGAAGGATAAAATTTGTGTTCTTCAGAATCTATATAGACTTGCAATAATGAGTTCACAAGCATACTTGCAAGGAATTACAACATTGTCTTCGCATTCTACAAGTCTATGGCCGCTTGAAGCTTCAATAATCCTTTCAACTTTCGTGCTAAGATAAGATACACCTGACTCGACACACCTAGGAAAAATTAATATAAGTAACGAACATATAATTCTGATATGTCTAACTATGCTAAGGTGAACATGTAGTCGATATATTACCTTTTCAGTAACTCTTCGTGAAGCAGATGCCGACTAACACGTCCATATGCACGACCGATAGAAATGGGATCATTTTCGTCCAGATATACAACAGTATCCCGCCAGACGTGTTCAATGCAACATGCAAGTCCTAAATCTGTAATAATTGAAAATTCTTCATGGGCTTAAACTATTACAATGATAATGCTAATAAACATGAAAATGGAATGAAATAGTGTTGTGATTATGTTTAGGAATCAACATGGATAATGGTTACTGGGAGAAAGAAATCAAGTGTTATAAAGGTCTAAAATAATTTCAAGGCATACTCAACTATATTTCAAGTACAAAGAGCATCAAATCTAATAATGAACAAATGCAAACAGCACAAGGGACGTAAAATAAACACTCTCAAAGTACAAGAAAGAGGAGCACCTTTGAATTCGTCCTCCCACACGCCATAGTTATTCGTGAAAGGAAGATCTGGGCCAACAAGCCCAACATTCAGACCCAGCTTAGCTGACTCAGCAGCCAGAGCCAGCCCAGCAGGTCCGCAACCAATTACAACCAAATCCAGTACATTATCCCCTGTATATATCCTCGGTAACTGCAAAGCATGAGTACAGACTTGTTGGAAAATATGTTATCTAAGCATTCACAATACCCTTTTTTATGTATTAAACATCAAGATCCAATTGCAAATAAAATTCAACATGGAAGAAAACATTAAAACGCGAATGATCTAATGTCAAAACATAATAAAGATTAAATGCATATGCAATAGAACAACGAAATGGGTTTTACGCATCTAAATAGTTTTAACACCCCAATCAAGTTAAATGAAAATCGGAAGACGACAACGTTACCAATGTTATATCCTCTAGAGTTGATGAGACCAATTTCGACAGCTACCATGATCAACAACTGATCATATTGTGTTTGTCAAGTTTAAGATCCGTACTTTGCCTATTCTAATTCCTAATATTATCAACATACTCCTTGTTAGCACATCCAAGTCAAAAACTTACCAAAAATTCTCATAAATGTAGTCTATGTTTATTGGCACCGTGGTATCATTTGTGCTGACAATGGAGCCAACTTATACCGAGCTTATCCATGGATTGTGCAAAATGAGGCAGAGTATCACCTACTTGATGCCTAATACATTATCTCATACGCTTATTTATGCGTGTAGATGCGTACAAGACTCATAACAAGTATTGGATGCGTTCAATAGTACCTATGACAAAAAAAACATTTTGGGAAATTCTAAGGTCATGTTACGGAACCATTTCGTCGGGGTTTGTAACAGTTGGATCATCATGTAACCGTCACAGATAATTGATCCAACGGTTAAAAACTCTGACAGAATGATTCCGTAATGGGACGTAGCATCTTCCAAAAATTTTATACTAGAATTCGACTTCCGTGGAAAAACTGCTACCTTTTACCAAGTAACCAATGATATTACTTTTCACCTCATGTATTCACTAGACATGTCGACATTAAGCATCCATAGTACATTTTTTTCTCCAGCCTACAATACAAAAAATCAAATATCTATCATGACGAAGAAATTACATATGTATAATACATACATTTTTCGCTTTCTAATTGTGTTCTAAGTCTAACTACCAAACTCAAAAAAAAAAAAAA